CACAAGGGCTATCTATACTATCCGTCCCTAAGACTAGAGGGAAGGCAGCTAATCATCACCACCCACCGCCAACTCTTGAGCTACTCTTTTACCAATGAATAGTGGGATTGACTGTAACATTATAATGCTTCCACGGCTGGAAGGGCAAGTATGTTTGGTGTGACGGAGATTTGAACCCACAAATTGCGAATCAAGCGCCCTAACCACCTAGTCATCCTGGGCTTGTGCCAAAGAAGAAATGAGCTTTTGGTGTACAACACAAAATGCTCTAGGCTGCAGTGATTCTAAACTGGGTTAACCCAGGGGTTAATGAGATCAGAATCCGGATGAATGAGAATAGCAGAGTGAATGAGTACTATCAATTATACAATAAATTCAAGAGCAAAAAAGTCATTAGTTATTATTACTTATTCTAGTTGTAATTTGATAAATACATTTATTTTTTGTTTATTTTATGTTGTATTCATTCTTGTTGTAGTTTGATGTATATATAAGTCATAATAAAGAATTTTGCATTTTAATTGAGTACATTTTTGTATTTTTTTCAAACTGGGGTGAGTGAGATGTTGTGAAAAACTTATAGGAGTGAATGATATTGAAAAAGGTTGAGAAGCACTGCTCTCAGAGATACTGCACAAGTGAAGAGAAGATAATCTAATGCTAATTGCATCATAGAATAGCACAGTTCATGTTGTTATATGTAGAGATGAGATCTCATTCAAAGGCTTGATGCAAGAGCAAGAACTTTTGGGCATCATTGCAGAGGTACAAGCTATTTTTTTCTGTAGATGGGTAAGCACCATAGCCTGAACCATACATTCCATTATAATAATAAACATAATATTATGTTAAAACATATCACATATAATTTGTAACTTTTCACCAAACATTGTTTGTTATTCAGTACAGACTTCATCGATCTAAGTTAAATATATGCAAATTTGTTTATAATCATTAATAAAGAAACAGGCATCATGCAGAAAATTGAATAATGTTTCATGCAGATTGATAAAAATATTTGGAGACTACTATGCTCTTATGATCAAATATGTTGTAGTTTTTACTTATTTTTCCATTTAAATTTACTCAAAACCTATTATCAGATGGTGAAATAGCTCTCATTAGTATTCACAATTCAAAATATCAGAATTTTACTCTTTAATTTAACACATGTTGACATTATTATGATTACTAATAGTTTTAACCTATGTAAGATTATTTTCTATTCGTTTTGATATTTCCTCAAATTCAAGTAAAGAAGGTTCTAATAAATAAATGCATTTATTAGCTTTAACTGGAAACTAACATATCCAGTTTAAAAAATACACTAACATGTACTGGCAGACAGCCTTTACAATAACAAACCTGTTTTTCTTCTGGTTTTAAACTGGAATAATTTGTTGGAAGAAGAGCTAATAAACCACCAGCTCCCTGTTGGACAATTTCTTCAAAGTGAGCATGAGTTAGATCACGCAGCCGAGCAATCACACATCTTCTAGTATATGTTTGTGACCCTAAGGTCCGCGCTTCCATGTTCACAGCAGCACTACGGCATCCTAGAGAAAAAGGCATGCCAATATTTATCCAATAAATAAAGAGGGCAGTTGCAAAGACAATGGTTTATTGTAACCTACAGAGAATTTAACAAATTAAAAATATTTTTATGAGCTTGGTTACAAAAGTGATTTAAAATGCTATTGCAGATGTTAAAAAATGATTACCTAAAAACATATACAATTATAAGATTTCAAACATAAAATTCATTAAAATTAAAGAAAATACTACTTATGCAAAATGTTAGTTTCTTTACAAAAACAGTGATTACACTAATTTATGCACTGTATTATATTTTTTTAAGTCAGTGTCATAGTCAACACTAAATGTAAACATAAATTTCAGAATAACTTTATAAATTAATTTTACCTAATATTAAGCAAACAGAAAAATGCTAACAAACATATTTCTATACACTTTCCAACCAATATTAAGGCTTGAAAGATTAGGAATATAATTAATCCTAAAATGTCAAAATTAGTTTTTAAAATATTGCTCTCAATTGGCTATAAACTCAACAATAGAGATAATCCTGCCTTGATCATGCCTGTCATAAATATTGAATTAAAACATGTTAATCTGCTGAGTGCAGTAAAGCCTAAATTGGTGTTTGGCATCAATCTATATTGGTTTAGATCGAGAACAAGTTGTTACTCGTCATAAAGTTGTCCACTGGGTTGTACTGTAGTTTACTATTTTTGTAGGAAAAATAAAATTTTTTGGGAGAGTTACTATCAAAGTAAAAATATCCTTTACTCCTAAGCTCTAATTATCTTGTTTTACGGCAGGATTACTTCTCTTCCTTAGATACACGTATGGCTTTTAGAAAAAATTGTGGATAACATGAAATCAGTTAGCTCATCAAAACTAGTTACCATAACTTTTTGCCTTTAATATCCCAAGCTCTGCCTTATACCCTTCCTAGAGAATTAATAAACTAAGAAGAATGAAACGGAACACATTACTCCAGAGCTTGATTAACATTGGCTCAATAACCCAAAATAAGTAAAAAATGCATTTAGACAAGGTGCTGATGTGACCAGTGGCTTGATAGTATTTGTTTTATTTTTAATTTTTTGATATACTAAAACATTTGTTTTGTTGATTTTTCATGGCAAAACAACAAACTAATTTCTCAAACTCAGTATATCCATAATGTTTACTTCAAAAATTTTTCTTTGTCTATACATTGATATCAGTATATTGTTAATTTGTTGTTTCAAATACTCTACAAGTTCAGCATTATCTTACCAATCCAAAGCATCTTTGGACATCACACATGTAACACTTAATCCATTATTCATTAAATAAATAAAATATTAGAATTTAAATGTCAAAAATTAAGGAGTTCTCATATAGAACAAAAGGTCTGTTGGACAGTGACATGTGGGAGACAAACAACAGAACTGAACTGCTATTTTAATATCTCTGATTGTGAATCCATAATATACCAGTTAAGAGGAATGTGGAAAAACATCTATAGTTCAAACAATTTTTATCACAAATTTAAGTCTATTGGTCTCTAATGCTTCACACCTATTATTGGTGTTTAAACTGAAACTTTTACAGTATTATACTGCAAGTATAATTAGTGTCTCTGATAATCCAGCCCAACTGAGAAGTTCTCACATTGAGCCAAAGACTTGTTTGGCAGCAGCGTATGGAAAACAAATTAAGACAAATGTGGAGAAAATAATCTGCAGTTAACGGTATTTTAAACACAAATTTTAGGCATATTAGATTAAATAGTGTTATTTAGACTTTGAGCATGTTAGTGTTTATATACACATTGGTAACTGACAAGTCTTAAAAAAGTGCTTTTGTGGATAGTTTTATTACCAAAACATTTATGCGTGATTGTCACTAGCTCTGGGCTAGAGACCTATTATAGAAACTAGTGGTTTCAGGAGTTAATTCTGAGCCCTAATGATGCTTGAAATAATGCGAGAACTACTCAAATTTTCTGTAATCACAGGTTAACACTCAGCAGAGGCCTCTATGTCTTACAAACAGTATCATCCAAATTATGTGCAGTTCTTCCACAACACCTATATTCCTCCCAAACAAAATACAAGTTCCATCTAAATTCTTATATTCTAACTACAAGCTCATATAAATTCTCAATGCTAAAAACATTTAATCAGAAATGTTTCAATGAAATTACCCCCCCCCTCCATGTTCACATAAATTATGGATAATGAAGGGCATAAAAAAGAATCCTGAGGAACATCTGTGATTCTCCTAACTCAATGAAGAGGAGGATATTTGCTATACAATTTTGGAAATTTTTATTATAAATAAAGCTAACTTATCTCTTGCAAGGAACGTAAGGAAATCACACTTTAATCTAAAATAAACACAGGAAAAGCCAACTCAATATATGACATCTAACTTAAATGTAACCTTTCATATCAGATAAAGCACTTAATAAAATTTTAACCTTTCAGCAAAATCCATGAAACATAACTCCACTCACATAATAGGTACAATCACCAACTAAACAGGTGGATGGACAGGTGTAACAGAGAAAACAAATGACCAACCACGGAAAGCATCCACAGAGATTGCAATAAGTGTGCACATGAATTGGAAGAAAGCACACATGAGTGGGACAGTACCACTTCTGGAACAGGTATGCCCTTCTCCCTTGAAGGAGTGAGGTGTCATAAAACAGATGACACTGAAGACCAAATAGCTAATGAAAGGCCTTGGAAAACACTGAAACAGTATTCTCCCCCAACCAGATAGACGAGGTCCCACTTCCTGTTCTCGCAGAAGGCAGCATTAAAGAACCAAAAAGAATACTTATGATGAAGCACGGCCAGGGCTAGTGAACCGTGAACAATACATACACAACGTCAACTGCAAATAAACAGAGTGCTATACTTCAAATAACTGGAATTCCAATGAGGAAGTAAGCAAATGGCAATCATCGGACAAACTTCCACATCAACCATGGGAGTCAGGAAATACACCAAACCAAACCTATAATTATAAGGCAGTGTGAGAGTCTCAACTCAACCATAAGAGCTGGGAAAAAACCACATGCACTCGATATTACGAGTAGGACTTGGAACATCTGCTCAATCATAGGGACAGGGTATCATACATCCCACAACTGGCATTATGAGGTAAACATAGTCCCTCAAGCTAAACCGTAGGAGCAGAGAAAAGAAATATCCTGCAACTCGAATTATCAAGACAGGAGGTGTCTACTGGATTCAACCATAGAAACATGCCGTGATCAACCTGAACCCAGTATTACGAGGAGTATCCAATGGTGGCTGGTCTGGTTCCCCTCCTATACTAGACCTCTGGGATCAAAACCCAAGGAAGGAGAAGGAGTGAGGGTACCCAGTTTCTCACTCTGCTCCATAAAGTATAGGGATATGTAAAGCAATGATCTGTATGAAACACTCCAGAGGAAGCCTCTGTGATCCACCACCCCAGTGGCAAGAACTCCCAAACTTCACTCGAGGAAGGGAGAGGTCAAAGGGTAGTGGGATGTCTGGAGGAATGACACACCAGAGAAAGTGCAATTGAGATTGCAATCAGGGACAGGAAAAACATGGCAAGGATGAATAAAATGAACGGACTGAAACAGGATGAAAAGAATGGAACAAAAAAAAACCCAGCGGAACCTGATAAAATGAAACATGTTCAACAAGAAATCTCTACAGCCAGAAACTGTCAGAAATGAAAGGTCCTGATCAAAGAGCCAGGCAAAAAACTGGGAAAGGTGAAGAATGGTAGGATGAGAAGGACAGAATCCTTGCCGGATAGACCAATGACAAAAAGTAGAAAATGGCATTGGTAAAATGACAATGTAGAAGAACAGGCTAAACAGGAAAAGAGAAAAGCAACACACAGTGTCAGGCCCAGGCATCTCGCAAGGGACCTGACAATGCCATGCATGAAGCCAGACAGTGGGAATGAGGTTGACAAAGGAGGGATGGAGACAGAGGTGATGAAATCTGCAGAGGTTCCAGAAGAGGGAACCAAGGTTGAGTCAGCCGATACAAAGCCACCAAAAGAACCCATAACATATTAATGTGGATGGGGGAGATAACTTTGGGGAGGAGATATATAGGAGGGAAGGCATAAATGTGGAGGCCCTTCCATTCCTGGCTGAAGATATTGATATTCAAAGCCTGAGGATGAGGAACCAGAGACTAGAATGACAGCAGTTTAATGTTGAGATGAGTGGCAAACACATCAGTGTGTGTTGTACCCAGACAAGAGCACAACCAGGAAAACCTGAGGATCCAGGGACCACTCCAGGGACTTTGTGTGGACGTAACAACCGATCTCCCACGAGATTCAATGCACCTGGGATATGGCAAGTTAATAACTGTATCCGGTGCTCATGGGCCCAGAATAAGAATTCCAGTGTCCGAAAACAAAGGAACGTGGATTTGTTACACCCTTGCTTGGTGATGTAGAAGATCACCAAGGACTTTTCTAAATGCACCATAACCACCATCACCTGCAGAAGATGGAAAAAATAAGATGTGGCCCAACAAACTACCAAGAGTTCCAGAAGATTGACAAGAAGTCCAGAATCGGTCGAAGACAATGTCCTAGAAATCTCCTGTGCATCAAAAGAAGCATCTGTGAAAAGGTTCAGATCTGGAAGAGGAGGTGGAAGAGAACACCAACCGTAGTATTGTCTCCATCCAGCCACCAAGCAAGATTGGACCACAGGGAAACAGGAAGAACAACCGGAAAATCTAAAGGATCCAAGAAAATATTCCAATAATCACAGAGTTCCCACTGAAGAGAATGCATGTGAGCACAATCAAGAGGAATGAGTGATTAAATGAAAGCTCACATCCCTAAAACAGATAGAATTTCTCAAGCCAGCAAAGAAGGAAAGAATAAAGCCTTGAAAACTAACAGTTCCATATCTCAAAGATGAAGTGACGAAGGCTGGGCCCGACTGAAATGGGAATTGAATAAAATCCCCAAATGAACCAGATACTAAATAGGGGAAATAACAGATTTCTCCACCTTCATCAGCCCCCTCCGCCTCTTCAAAAAAGAAATGAGTGTGGGTGAAAGACACCAAACGGGAAGGAACCAGAAGAAGCCAGTTGTAAATATAATGATGAGTCCAGAGTCCCAACGATTGGAGATGTTGAGCAAAGGCCCTGACTACTCAACAAAACATGTAAGGAGCCAAGGTAAGCCTGGAGCTAGAACACAAGCCCCTCATGAACAGATCAAAGAAAACAACGTGAGGAGGGAAATATGGGCACATGAAGATATGCATCTGCCACATCAAACTTGGTTATCCATAGACATGGAGTGAAAACCCAATGAAGAGACAGAAAAGACTGTGGTGAAACAAGGAGGATTTAGCAACTGATTGAGACAGAAAAAGTTGATGACATGTCTCCAATCCCTGGTTTTCACAGGGACAACAAAAAGTTGAAATTAAAAACCCGGTTGAACTGGAACTACGGGCTCTATAGCATCTTTAAGACGAAGCTCTCTCACAGCCTCAGACAAACAAAAACAGGAAATCAGATCTCATGGGGAAGGGAAAGGAACGAGAGATATGGATACCAGAAGTAATGAGAGAGAGACCTTCTATAAAAACCTGTAGAACCCACTGATCTGCAGAGAAAGTCAGAAAGTCCTCTTGATGTCCTATAACTTGTTATAAATCTTATCTTAGAAGAATTCTAAATCTTGGTTCCTATACAAGTCACACCTCAGTCTACAAAAACATGCCACAGAATGAAAATAATAATAATTGAATTCACCAATATCTATATTCATCATATACATGGTTGTCAATAACCCAGAACACCAAGCATTTCATACATAGATTTACAAGTTTATGGACAAAAATTGTCATACAGGTACATTCACATATGGATAATTTAATTCAAAAGCATGAAAAAAATACAAAAATATATTAATTTTACTGTTCTAATGCTCTTCCTAAGTTTAAAGTAATCTCCAATATTAAACACTAGAAAGCAGCTTTACAGTTGAGTGCACAATTGCAAATTAAACTCCACAATTTAAGTATAAGTAGTAATTCTTACTCTGTTTCAACAATTTTTTACTCAAAAATATTTAATAGATATTTTTCAAACTTAAAAAATTAAGTTAGTGTAACTTACAAATAAAAATTTTATAAAATGTTTGAACTTTGATCTCTACATTGCTCAAAGAGGTATTACCTACAAACAATATTATTATAAGTTTTCTAGATTCTGTTTGTCCATCCCAAAGTAAAGACTTATATTTACTCAAAATCCCTTAGAAATACTTAGCCATATTTTGTTTCTCACAACATTTCCTTTCCTCTCAGTAATTTTATTTCAAGTATACTGTATGTAGAATCTTTTTATGATGTCAAAGCACATGGTCTGCACAGTAACTAATAAATTTTAGCCTTGGATTGAAACCATATACAACTAAGGGTTAAAAATGATTGGAAATAAAATATTCTTGTATATCTATGTCAGTGTAAAGTAAATATAGTGGGGGTAAGCAGCAATTTATGCTTTCTAAGAAGTTAATGTAAAAAACAAAACAGAGGTGACACAACATAACCCTGCTTGATAGTGTATGTACTACAATAATTTTCACAACCAATGAGTGAACACAAAAGAGAATGTTATAATACATCACTATACTATACCTGCTGCATCCATGATCCAGTGCTGATGAAGCCTTTCACCCAATACCAGAGTTCATCAGGCTGGTTTGGATACAAGGCATAGTACTATTAGTATTGGTCTCGACATTTTGTTTTCATGAACAATGGCTATTACAATGTGAACAGATTAAGCAAGTGAATTGTAATTATTATCAATTTTATTTAAATATTTTACAATAGAAATCAGAGCTTTAGGTTAAGAATAACAATGTTTTGTTACAATTTCCTAATAACGGTAACAATAATATTACTTTGCTATTACTATTAGTAAATAAAATTTAGTTTCTTTCTACCATGAATATTTTAACTTTTAAGTAAATTCTGTAGTTTTACTCTCTTAGTCTTAGCATTACCCTATAGGTTATAGATGTTATTGTTATGATATATTTGGTCTACATAACTCTGTAGTTCAAGACTACTTGGCACATTTCTCTACGTAAAACCCCTTAGAACTAGAACTCACTAGATATTTGGCTATACTAATAGTAATATTAATGCTATGCCTTACCATGAGGTGTACCATGCAAGTCGAAATGCTGCATGCGATACACAGTAAACTCATGTGCTCCTAGAACCGGCGTCATTGGCGAGATCAAAATGAATAATGGTATAAATACAATGGTATAGAAGGGAACTGTACCCTTTATTATTTCGAAGAATCCGTCTGTATCTCCAAAAAACATATTGAAATTAAATTCTGGTATCTTGGTGTTAACAAGTACAAATTTCCTCTTTTTTTTCTTTTTTTATAACGATAAATGGCCTAATAATATTACGACTAGCAAAAGTTACAATCGCGCCATCTAACTAATGTATAAATTATAGGCATTGCTTATATTATATAGAGATATGATTATGATATGGAATATGTAGGATTTATGTTATATATATTTCTGTATAATGTCGTATTCTTTATTTAAATTAATAAAAACTTCAATTAAAAATTAAAGTGAAGTTGAAGCTATATGATGTAAAATTAACTTGAAATGAAATGCATTTCTTTTTCTCCAAAAAATGAAGAATTGGTCAAACACTTGCTGATCTTGCTGTCAACTTTTGGGTCCAACGAACAAAATAACCAGAAGGTTTTCGAATTTGATTTTAAATAATGAATGTCAGGATTCAAAATAACTGGCCAAAAAAATCTCAATTGGTCAGAGAGACTCTATAATTATTTTTAAGGCACATTGTGTTGGTATATTAAGAGTAACAAAAAAACAACTTTTTTTTTTTTGGCAAAAAAATAAGTACCTAATGATGACAAAACTTTGTCGAAACGTTGTACATTTGCTGTTATGTTAAACTTATATTAAAGTTTTTCTTCATTACCCATTCAAGCCGTCTCCAACCATTATTAAAAATAAGTAATATTATTTAATATAACTTACAGCCAACTAGTTTCGGTAAACTCTGTCAAGAGCATAGGTTAAAGTTGTAGAGTCCTGGACCCAGAAATAGGACCAAAGTATCAAAACAAAAAGATAAACCCTTCATCAAGCTCTGTGTCTACATGTTTATGTGTGCTCACGCTTCACCTGCCTGTAGAACATGATTCCTATTATCTGTAGCGTCAGCGAGTCACATGACTACTGTGACGCCACGTTTCTAGAACTATCCTGTACTTTGGCGAATGCTCTAGTATTTACTAGATATAGGGTAGTTGGGTATTTGTTACGTCTCCGTTTGTTAATTGATTTTCCCCTAACTTCGTACCGACGAAACTTAAGCGACACAAGCCTTTACTTAATAAAACTGGTTTATTCTTTCCGAATATAACTTTACCGATACACTTATTCTCAACAGTCGCGTTATAACAAACTATAATAACGAACGAACGTTAACTACAACAATACGTCTCTCTCTGACTGCAGTTCAATTACTCACTGTCTACTCACACATTACATTACCTTCCCGCGTCACGTTTTCCCCTCTTATATATATACCAGCCTACCCTACTAGTAAATACTAGAGCATTCGCCAAAGTACATGATAATTCTAGAAACGTTGCGTCACTTTAGTCATGTGACTGCTGACGCAACAGTTTATATAAGAGGGGGAATGTAATGTGTGGATAGACAGTGAGTAAATGAACTGCAGTCAGAGAGCACGAGAGACGTTACAGCGTTTGTTTAGCGCGATTGTTGAAGTTGAGTGTATCGGTAGAGTTATATTCGGGAAGAATAAACCAGTTTTATTAAGAAAGGGCTTGTGTCGCTTAAGTTTCGTCGGAACGAAGTTACGTAAAATCAATTAACAAACAGAGACATAACAAATTGGTGTCAGAGAGTGGGATAGAAAAAAAAAGAAGAAAAATGGAAACGAGAGGCGGAAAATCAGACTACAGCTTAGCAGACTTGATGGCAGCAATACAAAAACAAGAAAAGAAACAAGAAGAACGAGAAATTAAACAAGAAGATAGATTACAGCAGTTGTTAGAGGAAAAAGAAAATAAACAAGAAGAACGAGAAAATGAACGAAGAAAAG